ATTAAAAATGTATGAATACAATTTACAAATATATGAAGACGAGTTCATTTTTAATATAAATGCTCTGCTGCATGTTCTTTTAACAAATTCCGTTTCCATCTTTCTTATCTTGAAAAAATGCTTTCATGTAAAATGGAATAAACAATTTTTCAGAGTATTAATAATAAGTACTCAGAGTTAAAGATAAAAGYAGAACAATCATTTTTGTAATAAAAACGAATTTTTATTATTCTTTGGCACTGTCAACTCTCACTATTTTCGAAATCATTTAAAGCAAATTTTCACTTGCGCTTTTATTGCTTGTGGCAAATCGAAAGAAGCCATCAAAACGTGATTACTTTTCGTAAAAATTAACGAGCAAAAGTTAACGGAACATTTGCAATTGTTATGAATGAATGCCAGACAATCAGCAGAATGAGTAGACTTTAGAAATTGTTCGAGCAATAAACTATTAGACACAATAAAATGGTACCGCACACCTGTATGAGTATATACAAATCATACACGTTCATATACTATATATGGTATAAGTATATTTGTAGAAATAAAAATAGTAAAATTGTTAACAAATTTGCACGATATGCTCTACTTTTCGGCATCAGAGTTTACAAATAAAWTTTCCCATTTACATTTTAGAAATATTTAGAGCATCTCAAGGCGCTGGTACAATATTTGCAAATAAGTACATGAACAGCGTCGCATGCCGAAGAAGCTATTTTCGACAAATACATACATATGAACATTTTTTAATGTSACTATTTTTTTACCATTTGAGATATGTTCTGCAGAGAGCTAGCGGTACTCATTAACTTGTATGTAGATACATTTGYTTTTATGTATATACACTTCCATGTTCATAAAGATAGAAAAAATTGGTTAATACGCACTTGTATCGGCAAATCGGTAAGTTACTAGTTGTTTGAATATATCTGCGTCTCTTTATCACTAACAATTTTGTATTGATATATTTTCTAAGCGAGCAGTAGCGGGTTGTTGCTATAACTATTGCACAATAATGACATTATTTAAAACACTAATATTTTGCAAATACATACGTATATAATAAAACAATTTCCAGCCATGCTACTAATTATACTCCACGACTCCTTGTTTATTTGGCTTTCCCAATAATAATATGAATAAAGATGGGTGTTTTCTTCGGTAAGATTTATGTAAGAACGGAATTCCGGTGATAATTGTGCCAAAAACTGTAATACGCGCAAACAAACTCGCAGGAACCAACATATTTAAAATTATGTTTGTTGATATTTGCTAATTATTTGACGTAACAAACTCAAGCTTAGAATACCGCTATTGAGCGATAGGTGACGCTCGACGGAAACGCAGTGCAAAGTTTATTTAAACTATTTTGAGAAACAATTGCGTATACRCGCTTATAACACATTTATTTATAAACAAACTTAAATATATAGCTTAAAATATATTTTAAACAACTGTGTTATACAACTTGTTGTTCTCTTTTGTATTAAAAATATATTTGAAAATAATTAATTTATCACAAATAATGTTATGTAACTTTTTTATAATCAGAACTGAGAGCTTTAACTCATATAAAACGACTTTTTTCAATAATTTTAAATAAATATTAAAAAAAAAATTTCAAAAAACAGCCTTAAGCTAAACATCTGGCAATATCAATTGGTAGTTACGTAAAATAATCAGAATCTTGTTGCCGGCTACGGAAGACAATTTGTATACGCAAGGTAAATTGTGATAAAAGCAGAAAACGTCCACTGATAAAAGCCACGAAGTATATGTAGGGGCTAAGTTAAAACATACGTGCTAAAAAGCTAATTGCAAATGACAACAAACATTCTGGCGCAAGGGAGAATTGCAATAAACAGCTGTGAAACGAGTTGACACACTGACAAACCGTTTTACCAATTCTAAATGCTATTAGGATTTAATCAATAGTGTCTATTATAATTTCGTTGATATTTGTATTACTTGTTTCATATTCCCCAGTTATTGTGCTAGCCCTAAAACCAATTGTTAGAAGAATGGCGAAATTGGATGAGAAAATCGGTTTCATCGGCGGTGGTAATATGGCGTTTGCCATTGGTTCCGGTTTGATAAATCGGGAATTTGTAAAAACTTCACAGGTGCTGGTGTCGGGACCAAATCTAGAAAATCTTGCGCGCTGGCGTGCGCTTGGCATCGCAACYACAGACGATAACTATGAAGTACTGGACAAAGCCGATATTATTTTCATATGTGTGAAGCCACATATTCTCACACCAATGGCAGCACAACTGCGTAGCTTACACTCTCCTACTTTAAAAGATAAGGATAAGCTGTTTGTCTCTGTATTAGCTGGCGTTAAGTTGAAAACACTTGAAGAGGTATTTAGTTCTACTAATGTGGGTATAAAAAATTTGGTCTTTTATAATTCAAGTAATTTTCAGAAATTCTCATTTGTGGAAGGCTTAAAAATGATACGTACCATGCCCAATACGCCAATGCAAATTGGTGAGGGTATTACCGTGTATTCACCTGGTTCCTATGTGAAGCAACAAGATTTAGAAAAATTGCATTTAATGCTGAACTCTTTAGGAATTGCTCAGCAAGTGCCCGAATCGATGATAGACCCAGTATCGGGAGTTGCTGGTTGTGGTCCAGCATTTGTATATACAATAATTGAGGCTTTGGCAGATGGTGGTGTCAAACAAGGAGTGCCCAGACAAATGGCATTGCAGTTCTCCGCACAAATGTTATTGGGAGCGGCTAAAATGGTTTTGCTAACCGGGAAACATCCAGCTGTTTTGAGAGATGAGGTAGCTAATTTCGATTTTGTACTTAGTACYTTGTAATCACGAATATAAATTTCTTTGAAATCAATTAGGTTTGTTCACCTGGTGGTGCCACAATTGTAGGTGTACATGAACTGGAAAAAGGCAACTTGAGGTATGAAATAAAATTAGTAAATGCTTGCGTGAATATTAAAAAGTACATGAAATCACTTCAACTTTGCAGATCAACACTCATCAATGCTGTAGAAAAATCCAGCGAACGTGCTGCTGAACTTGGCAAAAAATAAGAATATAACAACAACAATTCACTTCCAATAGAATAAGCAATTTGTGGAAATTTTAGTTAAAAACAATATTTAATATTTGCAAGCTTTTATTGATTTTATTTTTGAAATTTATAACTAATCTTACGTTTTAGCAAATTAAATAAACATTTGTGTGTTTCAAAGTATTTGCAAAATTTGTTTATATGCGATCCTTTTTGCTTACATACTCTACACATTTCGAGGGATCAGTTGGAAAGTACTCTTGGCATTTTGTCATCAGGCGTTTCAAGCCYTGTATATACTTTCTTTGTGTTTCATCATTCATTACATGTGCTACGTTTTTGGAGAAAATTTTCTCACGTCCCGTACGTGCGTGAATACCAACCATGGTGACACCAATAGGCCAGGGTGCATTGCCTATGGCCATCTCTAGGTAAGCATCACTCGCAGTGATGTAATCGCGATTCAATAGACGTTTACAAATGTCACGTAAACTATCTAATATATCTTCGGGCAGGGTATGATGCTTAAGCTTACGAAATAAGGGTTTCACATATTCGCGGGTTTGTGTGAAAATTACACGAGCCATTTTAGTTTTAGTTGACATTATTTCCTGCTTTGAGTACGAAGCGATTTGATCATTCCACATTTTTAATAAAAACGTCAGCAAAGTTATTATCACATCCATGTCATATTCTTTGTTTCCACGACCCATCTTAATGGCACTCTCTTTTATGCTATCCCAAGTGACAGTTTCATCCAATTCGGCAAGGTCGGATTTTTGTTCTTCTTTAGCGGAGGGTGCGTTGGCAAACATTTCTTGTAGGTATGCTTGATCTACCTGTTCCATTGCTTCCTGGAAATCGTTACGGAATCCACGATTGGTTTCAGGCTGYGAAATCTCACACTGGCGCAGGCGATGGAACGCATCAGATTCTGTTTCACCAAATATAAGTATAGGTTCGCCTCGTTCGCGTAAACGACGTATGACTTCAGACCGCGGTAGAATGTTTTGTCCGTCCGAGACATAGCTGTAGTGTCCTTCTGGTACTTGGTCTTCCTCGCGGCTTTCTTGTTTTTTATAACCAACTTTTTGTAGGATTTCTTCTGTATTCTTGGCAATTAGTTCACCGCGTTTAAAGTATTTTTTCTTATCATCCACAAGTTGCTTTTCCTCAAGTAATTTTCGCTTTCTAGCGATTTCAGCCTTTATTATGTCCATTTCGTAAATAATTTAATTTTCTCTGTACTTCACTTTCTTGTTTGTATAAAAGTTTATTTCGTTGCTTCATTACACTGACATTCGCGTAAACAGCTGTTTATAGTGAACAGTGTTGGAATATGATAGTGAAAATGTCAAAATTTTCTGCCTTAACAACCCTGGTTATGGACTCTTAGAAATGTCAAAATTCTACAAAATTTCGCGAAATTATTGTGTGCAACAATTAAAAGAGCCTCAAAGGCATTCCATACGAAGTCCTAAAATTATTTGCAAAAATGCCAAAGAAAATGGTAACCAATTCAAAGGCTGTGGAGGCGCGTGAACGGAAACAAGCTGTGAAACAGGCCAACAATGAACGTGCTGCTAAGGAGGCTGAGGATCGACTATGGGCAGACAATGATAAAAATTTGGCCAAGAAGCAACAAAGACGCGAGGAAGAAGAGAAGAAACGGGCTGAGGCAATAAGACGAAAGACGGAAGCAAAGGTTTTGCTAAATTACATTAAAAATTAGCAAATATTTACATTTTTGTTCTATAGGCGCTACTCGATCAGGAAATGTCATCAATTAAGACGCAGGGAAAACAACCACTTGCTAAGATACATCGACAGCAGATTCTGGAAGAATTGGAAAAGAAGCAACGTGCTATTGATGCCATTAACGCAGCTAAACCACAATTGGGAGCCCGTGTTGTTTTACCCGAACCAGTAATCGAAGAAAATCTGAATCGTTCCATGGCCGATGTTGAAATTGCAACAAATGTCGATCAGGCCTTGGCAGCCCTGAGGTAAAAAAGTTATTTTTTATTAATGACATTGTTTTATATTTTTTATAATATTTTTTTCTTTGTTTTTAGTGTGAAAGACAGTGAGGAAGATAAACATCCAGAAAAACGTATGCGCGCTGCCTACAAAGCCTTCGAGACAGCTAATATGCCACGTATCAAAGCGGAAAATCCTTCAATGCGTTTATCACAGTGGAAGCAAATTCTTATGAAAGAATGGAACAAATCACCCGAAAATCCGTTCAATCAAGCACGCTGACCATGATATCTGTTAAAACAGCAACAAAAACAACCAGGAAATCGTCGTTTGGACCTGTGATTATTTAACTGATTTGCCAGATTTATAATCGGGTAATTCAAGGATGCACTCTGGATAGTGTTAATTATTTTAGTTACTTGCATATAATCATCATAAAAATGTGGTATATGCCTATTTAGTTAAATTCTTTTATTAATTTATGATTTTATTACGAAAAAATTGAAGAAATGTGCATTTCGTTTATTTTAAATACATGAAACATTCACAAATATTTAAACTAKCTATGGTGTATAGAAACACAGTTCTTTTATTTCGGGACTATGTTTCAATAATTAAATATAATGTCAACTTTCCGCAACAGAAAGTTCCTTGCCGGAATTGATACGKCCAAAGGCTGTTATTTCGATGAACATCCTCTCTTTTTGTAACGGTAAGTAAAAGCGACGTTTACTTCGGTTGCACCGAATATTTGAATCATTTTGCGGTTCCKACAAATGAGTACTTTCTTGAGGAGGAAAGGACGTCCGCAAATTTTCAGATCAATATCACAAAAATTTGGGGGACTAGTTCAGTTCGCTTATACACACACGGACATGGCTGAATCATCTCAGCAAACATTTTTCAGTATATAAAAATATATATAATATTAAGATTTAAACTTGATGAACTCAACAAAATATAATATTCTGCAGAGTAACACGCCATCAGGCCAAAAAACGAAATTCATTGAGCACTTCATTCCAAGCAAGCTATGCCATTACAAAAACAATGAAATTTCATTTTAAACTCGAACTCAACTATAACGRTATGATTATTACGTGATTTGAACACTTAACACTCGAACAAACTCGTTAACTGTTACAGCTTGTTATTCTGGTGATATGACCAATTTAGTTGAACGCTAAACAAAAAATTTTGCTTTTATTTTTATATTATTTTTATGTGTTTTTTGGTTTCATAAAAGTGTCATTTTGTCGGGGTGAATGAGAGTGAAAGTAGTAGCTTGCTTTGACACCATCGAGGTATTGACCAAAATTAAATAACGTAGTTAACTGTAAACAATTAGCAATGAGATGGCTCGGACGCTAGCAAAAAAATTTAAAAAATTAGTAAAAAAGCAAAACTCCCATTGTTAATGGCAGCGGTTAGTTAGATAATTAGTAAAGGTAATAACAATTGCGCTATGCAATGTTAACGATGAATTGTTGTGCGCAATTACCAACTTTATACACACATACACATACTATACATATGCATCTATATACTTAAAAACATATAATTTTTATTTTTATATAAAACAGTAGTTAAGTTAAACGTTATTTTTTCAGGTTGACTCTGGTGCAAGCAAAATGAAACACACATATACATATATTTATGTATGTAAATACATACTTTTATTTACCATAAATGTACATTACAGCATAAAGACACTGGTTTGATGGGAAAATTGGCACAACAACACCGTAGGTGGCACCATGTAAGGCCTTCGTTGCTGCAACGTGTTGGTGGTTTTTTGAAAATCCATTAAAAAATACTTTTTCTTTTTAAAACTTACGGTAACATTTCAATTTGCTCACGTTCGAATTGTGCAGGAGTATCTTTGCGGTTTGTGGGCGACGCAACTGCAAAGCGTGTCACTGTCACAAGGTGTGTGATGAAGCATCAATTGTTGTGCCAAAATGTCGCACAATAAATAATATTCAATTATTAGCGCATTCGCAAATAATATCGGTTTGTACGAAAGCAGTTGTGAGAGCAGAGGCGTATGCAGATATTTTTCATGGGGTCTATAATTATATTGGTGCATTTTTTTTTCAAAATTTGATCGTTTATTTAAAAAAAAAAAAACTTGTTTTTTATTAATGAAATATATTAATAAAGGGTGATCCATTTTTTATTTATCTTCAAATGTTGGCCCCGGCTACGTCTCAGATGGCCAATGCGTTGAGTGCAATTTTCGATTACTTGTTCGAGAATTTCGATTGGTAACTGGCAAATGACACGTCAAGACCTAAATCGGAACGGGATTATGCATAGACTTAAGACTTTACTTATCCCCGAGCGGTGCCCATTGACGGTTACGTTCTCACTGGTATCATTTTTAAAGAAATATGGACCAATGATTCCACCGACCTACAAACCAACCCGTTTTTTTTTCTGGATGAAATGGAAGCTCTTGAATCTCTTCAGGTTGCTCCTTGTTTTTTTTTTCTTGGAACTTTTCAAGCGGAGCGATGTCGCTTGGGAAGGTTGAGYGGCTTCGGCGCTTGCATAAGTTGTATTTTGTATACGTCAGTCCACGTTGCTGCGAACGGCGCGGAATAGACTCTCCACAGTCTTCGTGTACACTCTCAGCTTCGGCTGATATATTTTCCTTATTGCGTGCTGGGCGTGTCCTATTTGGTTGAATATTATCCAATAATGAATGCTTGGTCTCAAGATGGGTGATGGTGTTGCGAATTGCATGCTCAGTATGTCGATGAGGCTGATCATAAGTTGAACGCAGCGCGCGAAACACAGTCTTTACCAAGTTTAAGTTTTTCCATGATGAAATGCCAAGAAATACTGATTAGAAATACTGTTAAGCTAGTATACCTAACCCTGGGAACACATTTACGGCCGTTTTCGCAATGTCTTGTTAGCAGCTGTCAATTAAGTTCCGGCTTAAGAAAGATTCTTTCCCAAAAGAAAAAGCCTTGGTTAAGGTAACTAGAATTTACCTGAAAATAACTGCTAGTCAGACATTGAGAAACCCACCTTAGACTTTTAAAACGATGTGTACTTTGTGACATCACAAAAAAATATGAAAAAAAGTCACTTCTTCTTCTCTTCTTAATTGGCGTAGACACGGCTTATGCGATTATAGCCGAGTTAACAACGGCGCACTGCCAGTCGTTTCTTCTCTTCGCTACGTGGCGCCAATTGGATATCCCAAGCGTAGCCAGGTCCTTCTCCACTTGGTCCTTCTAACGGAGTGGAGGTCTTCCTCTTTCTCTGCTTCCCCCGGCGGGTGCACCGTCGAATACTTTCAGAGCTGGAGTGTTTTCGTCCATTCGGAAGACACGACCTATACAGCATAGCCGCTGTCTCTTAATTCATTGAACTATGTAAATGTCGTCGAATATCTCATACAGCTCATCGTTCSGACGAATGTTTGTTTGATGACAGGATATATTTCGTCTTGCTCTCGTTCACCATCAAACTCATTTGCTTCGCTGCCTTATCCATTCTGGAGAAAACAGAACTAACGGCGCGGTTGTTGAGGTTAATGACGTCAATATTATCGGCATACGCCAGCAGCTGTACACTCTTATAAAAGATCCTGCTCGATTAAGTTCTGCAGCTCGAATTATTTTGAAGAAGTCGCACGATAGAAAGTCGCTTTGTCTGAAACCTAGTTTGGTATCGAACGGCTCGAAGAGGTCCTTCCCGATCCTGACGGAGCTTTTGGTGGTACTCAACGTCAGCTTACACAGTCGTATTAGTTTTGAGGGGATATCAAATTCAGTAATCGCGGCATAGAGGCAGCTCCATTTCCACGAAGAGGTGGTGGTATGTGTCGATTCTCTTTCCACGGGGTTTTTCCAAGATTTGGCGCATGGTGAATATCTGGTCAGTTGTTGATTTTCCAGGTCTAAAGCCACACTGATAAGGTCTAATCAGTTTGTTGACGGAGGGCTTTAATCTTTCACACAATATGCTCGATAGAACCTCATATGCGATGCTGAGGAGACGTATCCCACGGTAGTTGGCGCAGATTGTAAAGTCTCCATTTTTGTGGATTGATCATAGAATATTTAAATTCCAATAGTCGGGCATGATTTTGATCTTGAAAAGAAGCTGATACATGCTCTTTATCTGTTCGTATTTGAATAACTCGGCTGGCAATCCATCGGCCACCGCCACTTTGTTCTTCTCCAGTACTCCAGGTAACTACGATTCGAACGTCTGCTAAAATCGCCAACGATTGGGAAATCAGGTTCACCAACTCCTGGTGTTATGCTTTCGCTGCCGTTCAGCATTCTGGAGAAGTGTTCTCCTCTTAATTTCAAAATGTTCTGCACATTAATCAATAGATCACCTCTGAAGGTTCTACAAGATTCGCCGCATCTTTTCGTAGAATTTTCGAGTTTTACCCCTGCCACCTTGTCAAGCTCTTCGAAATAAAGGATTTCGGCCTGTCTCTCTTTCGTCTGCAAATGCGTCTCGGTATCTATCCCATCCCCCAAATCTGTTTTCTCTCCGCTGCGACACGGCACTCCTCATCGTACCAGCTATTCTTTCGCCTTTTCCTAAAACCAATGGTTTCGTTTGCCGCTGTACGTAAGGAGCTTGAAATGTCGTCCTACAGTTCCCTTATACCGAGTTGCTGATGAGTGCTCTCAGAGAACAGCCGTGCAAGTCGAGTAGGAAATCGTTCGTCTGTTTTGCCTTCTGAAAATAGCCGCAACACTTTGCTTTAAATTTTAAATATTTATCTTTAGTCGACAGTCTATGCGGATATCGACCTCAATATCCCCCTTACATTTTTTCAAGTTGGCGCTCCAGTCCATTAGAAACATTTTATTGTCTGCTTGTAAAAACAAGCACACCAACATCAACCTACTTAAGTGACAGCGATAGTTTACATTTACTTATGAAATTTAAGGCAAAATATAAACAAAAGCAAAATTGTTTTCGCGTGTTGCGTAATGGGAAATGTGTTCATTAAATAGTTGGCAAGGTAAATGAATCATAACAATTTGAAAAAAAAACGGCAGTTTGGCTAGCGCTGGCACTTAATAAAAATACTTCCAAACCCATTGCACCAAATGAGGTTTGATGTTAGGGAGACGAAACGAAAAAAATAATTCCGTAATAATTTTTTACAAAAAAAAAAAAAAATTTAATTAAACATTAAATTAAAATTATTGGCACACATATACTAATATTAGTACGTATATACATTTATATATATATAAATTTCTACATACATATATCTTATGTGCTTGTATAATAATTTTCTCAATCCATAAAAA